CCCCCAGACTGGGGCTGGCAAACAGGATTTTCCCTCCCTCAGGAGCAGGAGATGAGGATTCCCGTGGAGGCAGGTCACCCCAGAGTGCAAATCTCTGCTGCTTGGACTGCCAGTGGGGCACGCCTCAGCCAGGAAGGTGGGACCCAAGAGTATTTCGCTTCAAACGCAAGAGGCCGAGATGTAACGTGGAGTCTGCTCGCGGCTTGCTGCGCTGCAGCACACGTGCCTGGCTATATGGAACACCCCAGCCCACTGCTGCATGCTGACAGCAGGGATGTGATTTAGTCCCTTTCAGGTCCTTGGGCTCACTCTGCTTCCACGGCCCTCCAAAACAGGAGACACAGGCTCAGGCAAGGTAAGGACAGAAGTGCTTATGCTTGGATTCATCCCACACAGCCATTTGACTGAAGTTCTTTCAAGCTTAATTGCCCTTAGCCTCACCCAGAAGTGAAGAGGTGCAGGATTCCCTGGAGCAATTCAGGCCCCAGACCGCCCCCTGGAGCTGCCCATCCCTCACTGCTGCCTGCCGGTTTCCTGCGCTTGGTGTGGCTCAGCTTCAGCTTGCCTGACCCGAGGCATTCTCCATGTCACACGGAGCTTTCAGATCCCCCAGTTACTAATAAACACACCTCCCACCTCAGCAGTCAGTCCTATCCCTCCCTTTCGGCCCAGCCAGCTCTCACGCCTTCCCCACATGAAGAATCTTCCTCACTACTCACCTCTGTTGGGTCTCCAGATCTTCTCCATGCCGTGCCGCATGAGCACGATACGGGACAACTCCGTGAAGGACTCTATGACGTTGAAGTTGCACAGAGGGCTGACCTCAAAAAACGTCATGCAGTTCTTCTCCGCATAAGCCCGGGCCTGCTCTGTGGGCACCTGCCGCTTGAAGGCAAGGTGGAGCCTGTTTCCCACCAGGATCCGAGGGACACCTGGGGCATGCTTAAAAAAGGAAAAAAGAGGAGAAATCACAGCTTGTCCTTAGGAAGGGCAGCCTACACCCAGTATTCTGCTGAGCTGCCATAGCATTGAAGGGCAAAGAAACAGAAAGTGCTCTGGGACCAAGAGGCACTGCCAAGGCGTACTGCTACGTCACGAGAAAGACTAATTTATCCCCTCCACAGTCCATTTTAGAGGGAACCTTCCCATCTTTCTTAATCATTCCTTTCCTACTACTCCGGATTTATACAGAGGTGGAGGGCAGACACTTATCCCCTTGCCTTGCTTATCAGCAGACTGCCATCATTTTCTCTCCATAGCAGAGCCATTCCTTTCCCCGTATCAGGTGGCACCTCAGGTGATACCTCCCCAAGTTTTTGCTATAGACCACTGCGTGTGTTCTTCCATTCAACTTACCTCATCTATCTCCTTTATCCATCGGTCTATTCCATCGAAGGACCAGCGATTAGTGATGTCGTACACCAAGAGAATTCCCTGGGGGAAGAAAATCAGGAGCAATCAGGCAGTTTCACAGGAGGCAAAACGAAAGGGAGAGACACCTGAAAGACCATCTCCATATGCAGAAACCAAAAGGCTAGGGGACAGAACATAGCTCCAGCTGTGCTATTTGTGTGCTTGCTAGGGCAAAAATTGAGACAACAGGTCTGTACTGACTCAGTCCCAGACTATTAGGGCAGGTTTTACTCCTGTTTTGGCTTTAACAGCCCCCAAATCATTTCAGACGCAGCAGTCTCTACAAAGGAGGAGGAACTGCCTCGGTGACAGTGTATCTCCAGGAGGAAAACACACTGTCTTCCTGTCACAAATGTGATAAACTCCCTGAGGCAGAAAGTCTTTTTCTTTTCCCCTTATGCAGAACAGCTGCATTCAGTAGTAGGATGGCAGCAGAACATGACAAAGTTAAAGCACACCCATCTCCAGCATGTTTTCCCTCTCCAAAACCTGTCTCGTTCTGTCATCCCTTTGCTAGCAAGGAAAAGGGATGCCAATAAGCAACACAGCACCTCCGCAGGACTGAGATCTCACAACCGGGACCCACGCCAGGCTCTGCTGAAGGCAGCCGGCACCGCTAATTGTCACTGGGGCACTGGTAGAGAACGATGCTGGCAAACCCCAGAGGGCTGGATCAAAGGCTGTGCTGCAGGACCTTCTCCCCAACCCTTTCTTCTGGAAAGAGAGGTACCTGCTGCACCTCAGGCCCACATCCACCTTCCCTGAACACCACCCACCGCCACGACTCGCTTCACAGTCGCCTCTCGAGGTGCAGCACAACGATGCTGGCAACCAGGACAGGCACAGCTCAAGGCAGGGGAGTTTGTGCCTGCAGCTGCGATGACACGGAGCAGCACCTTAGAGAGCCTCCACCCTCGCCCCGAGCCTGGCTCGCAGGACTTGGGACCACGGCCAGACTGTTGGCCCTCCGGTCCGCAGCAACTCCTGAGTGAGCTTTTCTGGAATCAAAGTATTTCTGAGGACAGGCACAAGGAAAGTAGGCTACGCACGGCCCCGCAGGCAGGCAAGTCAACGCATCAGGAGCTGCCTCTCCGTACCGGGTGGGCACATACAGCATTTAGGGAATTGTCTTAAGCAGCCTTTCTGCAATTCTCCCATTATTTTTCTGGCTTCTTGTCACTCTCTTCAGCGCAGTCGAGGACATTTCAAGTGACAACAGGCGCTTCAAGGTTACTTTGCAGAATCACAGTTGATGCCCTGAAACGGGAACTACGAGGAACAGATGATCTTGTGCTGCGAGAGGAGGCAGCCCAGCTGGGAATGCAGCGCTGGATGAAAGGCAACCCAGTGGCCATAAGACTAAGCTAAGGGCAAAACAAACCAGCCCGAGCTAGACTCCAGGAGAGCAGATCATTTAGCAGCAAGCTCAGCAGAACCCATCTTCTCCGAGTCAGGAGTATACTCCAGGAACAGCCGCCCCACGGCAAGTCCCCAGCGCGAGCAGACGAGATCTTAAGTTGGCAAAGGGAAGCCTCAGCTGGCAGCCTAGCCCTCCCTAGGAGATGCCTAGATACAGCACAGCGAAGGAGCGAGCTGGCAAACTGCATGGCATCTGTCCTGCCGCAAGTCAGAGACTATCAAGCACCATCTCCTCTCCTACCAGTGGAGCCGCTCCTTTATTCACTGAAATGGAAGATCCACGACACAGATGGGAAACACAAACTACCCAGTCCTCCTGAAACGCAGCGCTACAAGATTTGCTGCTGCCAAAGCCCACGGTGAACTGGGGGAAGCCTGTCCAGAACCCATGTACATGATATACCTCACGTTTATGAAAAAATAATCATCAGCATGAGATCTGGAGTTCACAGGAGTGACAAATGCCAGGGCAACTGAGTCAAAAGTCACTTGAATCCCCATAATAAAGTCATGTCTCGAGCTGGCACTTGAAGTGTTCCACTCACGTGGAAAGACAGCCTTTCTCCAAGTATGCAGAGTGTGCCTCAACACTGCCTGCCTTCCTTTCAGAGTAAGCAGCTCTCGCAAAGCCTGCCCAATTTTATAGTTTTTAAAAGTCTTTGTCAGAACAGTTCTGATTCTTGACCTTTATCTCATTGCACAGCTCTGCCACCCCAGGCGGTCACTCTTCAGGCAGAGCTGGCTTTTTCTGTCCTTGCTGGCCCTCCCAACATGTACGCATCTGTGTCTTACCACTTGCAGAAAGGCTCAAATGTACAAAAAAAAACAAAAACAAAAAAGAAGGTGAATGGGTACAAAAGGCAACTCATGCATGGTGGGTTGCTTTTCATGCCTGATAGCCCAATATGAAGAGCAAGTCCTTCAAAGTTTGGGTTTGAGGTTGTTCTGAGGGACCTGATGATGAGTTTTTATAATTGCAGAAGCATTGTGGAGTGGGGGGAGCAGATGCTTTTTCAATTTCCTCCAAGGAAAGGCTGGAGCTCAAGCCTAGAGTCTGTAATTTTTTTGAAGTGTCATTTCTAGAAAAAACGTCAAAGAACTTCATACTCAAAAAACTTTGGAAGTTGCTTTTGTTTTGGAGGAGAAGAGAATCAGTTTCTCCTAGGTTTAGATAGGAAAAAAAAAGAAGGAAGTAATGATTTTCCATAATTAAAGAATACCATGAAATGAAAGATCCTGCTTTTCAAGAACCCAATCAAGAAATACATACCACCAGGATATATCACATTTTAAGTGTGTTTTGGAAAAAAAAAAAAGAGACTCTGAGCTTTCTTTTCATTTTTATGTTTGTTTTGACTTCTAGCTTCCAAGGCCGCACGTGTGAATGAATGAGAGTCATGAAATCACAAAGCAAAAAGTCTGATGACCCTCCTCCTTCCAAAACAAACCGCCAGCAAGTTAAATAAAGTCTACTTATTTTATTTCTGGATTGACAAGTTCCTTTAGCCAAGAGAAACAGACCCAAGACCTAGTTTGTGAAGTCTGCTTCTGCCAGAAATATGCTCCAGGAGGAGAGAGTTTTTGAGCTTGCTGGCAGCTGCAGCCTGGATCTTCTTTAAACAGGAATAAGGATAAAACCTCAGCAAAAACGCAGCCCCAAGTTCTCAGGAGCAGGGTGGAAGGTCAAGACCACAATTTCTAAATGCAAGAGACAACATACTGGCTGCCAGCTTACCCTCCAAGTCATAACACAGCTCCATCTATGCACATTTGGAGTTGAGATTGTCAAGGAAAGCTTCTCAAAGGTCAGAAGACACCAAGGCCAAGTTGTCTAATGCCTTATCTCTGTCCTCATCCTCCCCAGCACGGGTATTACGACCAGCTTTACTGTAACTCAGCAGAAGATGGAGGAAGCAGTCTTGAAAACCTCTGGCCAGCTCACGGTGCCGCCAGATAACCTCGTACTTCTTCCAAGTAGTGCTGGCATGCTCCAGACACCGTGTTTCTAGAGCACACATCCCAAATGCACTTCATCATGACAGTTTTCTCTCCTAGAGAGAACAGTACACAGACATGCACGCAGACAGGGAGCTGGCTCCATCTCTGCAGACTGTTCCAAATAAGATCTGTCATTTTTTCAGTCTTTTTTAAAATGTCTCCTTTGGAATAATGTGCACAGAATTTTAATTTTCTCAACTAGACAAACTAACCATTTCCCATTTGCAGCCTAAATTGTTCTCTAAGTGCCTAGATAGCTGTCAACACCATCATATCTCCATACCTCTGCATTTTTAGTTTCACAAAGCACCTCTGTGAGCGTTACATACCCCAGGCTCCCACAGCATGAAGTGAGAAGCTGCACACTCAGGTTCTCAGATCAAGTGTATTCTGGACCCCTCACCAACCCTCCAACAGCCTTTCTTCTTTCTCTTCTCAACCTGCCTACAGGCTTCTGTGTGAGGTGGGAGAGGACTGGACTCATCCCCAGACCCATCTTGGATCTTTTCACAACTGATTTTCAAAAGTTCATTTCCACTCTGTTTCCATTCCACACCACTGGGATTGGCACGACCCTGAGCATACCAGCGACAGCAATTTCCACATGAGTACATCGTGTAGTGAACGAGGAACACAGAGAGATCACCTGTTATTGTATCCAGCAGCACACGTGGACACTTGCGCTGCCAAAACCTGGACTTATTTTCAGC